TTATCTTGAAAGAGAGGAGAACTGACTCTTACCGCATGCTTTCTAGGTGACAGTTTGTTTATACATAATAAAAGCATAACATGCTAATTAGACCGGACAGCCCAACGACCTTTAATGTTCCACCAAAATCCGAAGCTGAATGTCAAGAGTGCCCCCATGTCCCAAGTACCCTATGTGCATGCTGTAAGGTGGCCTCATTTATGGTCCTTAAAGTCACTGCGAGGTGGATCCTGGATAAGAATCCAAATGCATGTGCCCCCTCCCCCCCAAGTGCACACTGCTTGGACTAGACCTTGTGACCTTCACTTAACCCCTGCCCTGGGGAGAAGCAGCTTGCCCCAGGTCAGAGAGCAGCAAGGGGGCGCCTGGCGTGGCTGCTACTCCTCATGTGAAATGATGTAGTGGGATCGTCACCATCATGACATACTTAGGGGTGCTGGGCTTCAAGCAAAAAGACACCTATATGCAAGAGTATATTCTACAGTGAAGGGGAAATGATTTTTTTTCCCCTAAACTGGAAAAATACCTGCTTCCTACTGTCCCAAAGGGTGACAGCTTTTAAAGGTCTCTTTCATGTAACTCCTCTTACTACTCATTCCCTTTTCTTCTTCCCATATTTAAAACATCATTATACTCTGATTTCTCTTCAGATCACATAATCTTTCACCTTTTATACTTTTATACTTCCCCTGTCCCATCGTTGTTTAATGCATCTCTCAGTTTCCATGACATCCAATTGTTTTCCTCTTTTCTCCTGAGACCCAAAGCCTGTGCCCAGGAGCCTTTAATTCCAGGTGCCTTCTCTACGCTTCTGGATAACCCTATAAGGTAGGCGGCATAGCCCCGTTTGAGGGATGCTGCAACTGGGCTCAGTGGCAGGTGAGTGGAACATCCATTGGGGGACATCCATGGAGTCCTCTGCGGGCGCATGCAGACCCTATGAGGTTACCGAGGTGACATGGGTTTCGCCTTCCTGTCCCATTCGGCCTCCTCTCGAAAAGAAGTCGCCACCTGGCAAGGTGAGAAGGTCAATCTAGCCCGCCCTCTTGTGTGCCTTGGGACCTCCAAGTTACATTGTTTCTTCCGCTGCCCGCACCTCATTGGCCCGCCGCAGCGCATCCCCATTGGCTGTGGGTGCTGGGGACATGCCCTGATTGGTCCGTGCCTAGATGCTGGGTCTGTTTTTTGGCCAGGGCAGAAGCCATGGTCCCCACTCTGGCTGGCACAAGGCCCGCGATCGCTGTCATCGCTGTCACTGCCATCAGGGCTTCCCGTGGCCTCTTGCATGTCCAGAGAGTGGGGACGTCGTGTGCACAGGTGCCCATCCCTCCAAGTGTGAGTATCGATTACATGCTGAGGTAATCACACCCACCCACCTCCAGAAAGGTGCACTTTGCCTTGTGTCAAGCCGGTGCATCTATCTAAACAGGTGAACATTTAGGTCTGGGGCCAGACTTCAATACAAATGTTTGTATATGACATTTTGACAACCTATATATATATATTTCTGACAATGACTGGACTTTTTCTTTTTTTACGTGGTCTGACAGGTGTGCCTAGGGTTTGAATGGATCACACTTGAATGCTTAAAAGTGGTGGAAAGTTTCTCTGAACCTTATTTTCTTAAATTTAGTCTAGGGAGTGTGTGTGTGTGTGTGTGTGTGTGTGTGTGTGTGTGTGTCTAAGCAGGTGTTTTAATAGGAATGCATTTGGTAATGAAAGTGTGCTTTGGTTTATAGATGAGAATTAACAGAAATCTGGCATGTAGTAGGTATATACTATATCTAGACTGAGTTCCCTCGATTCGCACTCCTTTTAGATGCCCAAACCTGCTCAGTTTTCTGAGTCAGAACAGAATATCCAGGTTCGTCCCCTTGTCTAATTCCGCCCCACCCCTCTTATGTGGTAATTGGGCAGCATCACTTTGAAAGGCTCTTTAAGCTTTTCAGAGGTGTGTGCCTCTTATTGTGAACGGTGCCAAGAACTGAATTCATGAGACTGTAAATTGTTAAGATCCAGAGAGGCCTTTGGGGTTCGGGTGGAACTAGCTTAACAGTCCCCATGGTTGTCTCTTGATCTTCGGTTTCCTTTAGCTCTCTCAACCCAGGGCCTCTGCTCATCCCCAGGCCTGGGTGGTGTGGTTTTGGCTGTCCAGGCAACAGAACTCTTCGTGGTTTTAGTGTGGGAGAAGGAGCTGGGAAAGGGAGTGTTCGCATTAATCACGTATGGATCACCATATGGTACACATGGTACGCACCCTGGGAGGGACACCTTGCCTGCTGGATACATGGATCCTAAGGACCTTACTGATACTGGGGTAGGGGCATTCTAGGTGGGAGGAATAGAGGTTGCTGGGCTGGACAGCAGATGTTTCTTTGGTCGATAGTAAAGGGAAGGGAAAAGGGAGATGCTGAGTTTTCCAGGCTATTACAATGCAGATTTCCAGGCCCTGGGGATGCAGTCTCAGACGATACCCTCTAGCTTTTCTAATTTCTTATGCTGTTGGGAGCAGTGTCCTGAACACTCTTTGCATCTGTACAGAGCTTTTTGGGGAAAAAGGTTTGTTTGTGCTTTCTCGGTAAAAAATCAATAAAATATATTTAAAAAAAAATAGCAACTTAAGCGCCAGTCAGGTCCACAGTGCACGTTAATAAAGATAACATGAAAAGAATGTCTTATGGGGAATTCATAGCAAATCATTCCTCGTGGAGAGCACGAGGTATCCATCCCTTCACACAGAAGGGACAGATCCAACTGTATTACTGCAACGGAGAGCTCTCCAAAAAATAGCAACTTAAAGCTCCAGTCAGGTCCACAGTGCACGTTAATAAAGATAACTTGAAAAGAATGTCTGATGGGGAATTCATAGCAAATCATTCCTCGTGGAGAGCGCGAGGCAGCATTTAGGAGCAGAATATTTAAAACTGCACAAGGTCTAGTCACGCTCAACACCTCCTTGGCTTGATTCTCCCTTAAAGCAGAGTGGAAGGACCTTCTCCCATCTTCCTTGTGGTGTGCTCCACCCCCACCCCAACCCCGGCTTCTCCCAGCTCCTGACCCCGGGAGTCTGGGGCAGGCGGGGTGAGGTGGAGGTCACAGGTCCCAGTTGCTGGGCAGGATGCTCTAGCGCCACCTTCTCCCCTAGCGGTGGCCGTGAAAGCTGCCCCCAGGGGGAGCTAGTAATGGGATGGTCTGCCCCCTATGGGAGAGGGCCGAGGGCTGCACCCTTATCCCGTGCCTGAAACTGACCACACAGCCATCTAGACATTTTAGGAATGTCTTTGGGTAGAAGCCTGGGAGAAACCCAAATTATCAGCATTGGCACTGGGAGCATTCCAGATGTCCCACAGCCCGGAGGCCTTTGGTAATAGAATTTCTAGACTTAGAGAATCCGAGATTCTGGGAGGTCCCCGGTATTTTCACCTCCATTCATTGACTTAAGGTCCCTGGTGTGAAGGTGCATTCATTTCCCTTACATTTAAATAAGTAAAGAGAAGCTATGTCCTTAGGTCAGAAGGGTCTCATTTTGCCCTAGGCCAACGGTTCTCAACTTGTGGGTCGCGACCCCTTTGGGGTCGAACGACCCTTTCACAGGGGTCACCTAAGACCATCGGAAAACACGTATATAATTACATATTGTTTTGTGATTAATCACTATGCTTTAATTATGTTCAATTTGTAACAATGAATTTGGGGGTCACCACAACATGAGGAACTGTATTAAAGGGTCGCGGCATTAGGAAGGTTGAGGACCACCGCCCATGCAGTTCCAAACCCTCACTGTTTCACGGTGCTTCGTATGAAAGATGTACTGGCTTCTGGAAATTGGAGACTATGAAGGTGTGGCCTTGATATAACCCCGCCCGCGGGCTGGAGGGGCCGCTGCAGGTTCTGCACTGTCCCTATGTGCCGCTGGTGTGACTCCTGGTAATCGATCGTACAGGAGCTTCCTGCCATGGTCTGGGCAGCAACCCGAGGGAAAGCGATACCCTGGTGAAGACCACACTGTTGGTGGGAGACTTGCCTTCTGACCTAAAAGGCGTTTTCAAATCCCACGCTGCCCCATTGGGTTCCTGACCTCTGGCCGGTTTCACCCCTAGAACTTAGTGGCAAAGCTTTCTTCCTGCCTCCTCCCCGATAGTCCCTCCACCGAGGAGATTCTGTTCCCAGCGGCTGCCCTCTGTGGTGCTTTGAGAGAGGTGTTGCCACACGTACGCCCAAACCATGAAAGTCTCAGAAGGGCCTGGGGAGCGTGTTGCCCACCAGATGCCTGGCCCCACCCCGATAGCTTCCGATCCAGTGTTTTTGAGGTCTGGGCAGGCGGGGTGAGGTGGAGGTCACAGCTCCCAGTTGCTGGGCAGGAGACTCTAGCGCCACCTTCTCCCCTAGCGGTGGCAGTGAAAGCTGCCCCCTAGGGGACATGTATGTTTTCAACACTCTCCCCAAGTGACTGAAATATTGTACATAAAAACCGGCTGCGGTCATGCATTGTCCCTGCGCAGCAGGACTGAGCTCAGGGGAGAATGGGCCCAGCGAAGACCTCCCATTCTAATTCACTCAAAACCCCAGCACCGAGCACCTATTGGGGTCCAGAGGTGTCGAAGACGGGGCCTCTCTGTTCAAAGAGCTGGCAGAGCAGTGGTGGGGTGAGTGCCTGATGGAGGGGTCCATGCCTCAGGTAAGAGACCTGGTCCCTGACTCTTAAATATGTCAGGTGTCAGTCCCAGAACCATTCTCTAAGTCTAGGTCACAAAGGACGGCGTAATGATCACCTTCAGAACCCACTGGAAGCTGGACAAGCTAAACCCACTTCTCTGTCGTCATGTAACTTTTTGCTTTCACAGGTAGAAGAGTGCATTCTCTTCTCTTTGAGGAGCACCTAAAGAATACAGCTTGATGGGTTATGTGTTCATATCTGTACACCTGTGTAACCACTACTCAGGTCGTGGGGGGGGGGTGCATTCTGGCATAGGAAATACCACAGAGGGTGGGCCGCCTACCCGTTCAGCTTTTAACAGAAAGTAAAGAATACGCTCTCAGGGTACGGCTTGCTCTCCTTGGCCACAGCAGTCCATGCACAAGCGTCTGGTGAGTACCTGCAATGTTCTGGAAGCTTCCTGGTGTAAAGCAGCAGTGCCCTTCACCTGTAAGTCAAATATGAGCGGGTTTGTCTTTAGGATTGAACTTAAGTAACACATTTTGTGTCATCCATTGTTCACTACGTATCTACTACTGATTCTATTCATTGGTTTGGGACCCTTTACTTTCTTCCTGCTTCAATCTGCCTCCCTTTTTCTTTAATATTGTATCTTTATTATCTAGGGCCCCCCAAAGCATAATATTACATTGTAGCTTTTAATGGCGACCGATGGAGAAGGCAGCGACCCCAGTCACGAAGCGGCGCCCTGGCCCCTGGCACAGGTGCAGGCGCAGGCACAGAAGCTGGAGCCTCGGGTGGCCCGCAGACGCCTGTCCCAGGCTCGCCACCGAGCCACCCTGACAAAGCTCTTCGGTAACCTCCGGAGAATCGTCTACCAGCAGTCTGACTTCACAGCCTCGAAGGTAGGAGGACCTGAGCGTGGGGAGGGAAGGTCCTATATGTGGAGGGGCTGTGGAGCCAGGTGGGGACGGGCCTGGAGATGCTCCTCCCCCCATTCCTACCCCTGAGGGCTGGGGCCTGCCCGGGTGGGTCAGCGGTCAGCTGTGGACACCGCATGGTGCTGCGCCTGCTGCTGTCTGGCTGTGCTCCGTGCCCTGCTCCACGAGGCCCGCCAGTCCTTGCAGGTGGAATCACTCCCTCCTCCCGTGTGGTCCCACGGCCCTTCGTTTCTACCCCTTGTTAGCACTAACTGAATGCTAGTTTGTGCTACCAGTAGTTGTTTCCGTGCCTGTCTCCCCTGATAGGATGTCAGCACCCTGAAAGCAGGGCTGGTTACCTGTTCTCCCCAGGCCCAGCACAGCTGTGTCCCCTCAACATACATACCTGATGAGTGTGTCGCTCCAGACAGCCATCAGTGGTCAGAGTAATAAACAGTATTTAGCAGTTCTTGTTTTTTAATAATCTCACAGTTATCATTTTGACTTTAGTAATAATTTGGGGGCCCTAGATAATAAAGATACAATATTAAAGAAAAAGGAAGGCAGATTGAAGCAGGAAGAAAGTAAAGGAAGAGAGCAAGGGAGGGAGGGAAGAAGGAAAATAGGAAAGAGGGAGGGAGGGAAGAAGGAAGGAGTGGAGGGAGGGAGGGAGAAAGGAAGGAAGGAGGGAAGGAAGATAGGAAGAAGGGTAGGAAGAAGGAAGGAGTGGAGGGAGGGAGGGAGGATGGGAGTGTGGGAAGAACGCTTGTGATTCTAGTCTTGCAGAACAGGACATTCAGAGTTCAAGTTGACAGAGCACTTAAGTTTTCATATCAACTGGAGTGCATGCATTTAACAAATAAAACTATTGTTAGACTCGCACATTTACTATTAACCAGCCGGTTGCACATTGTGACCAGTGAGCAGAAGTTCATTGGGAGCCTGCTGCCCGCCTGGGGCTGACATCCACTCAGGCCGCCTCTAAGTCACCATTTATCCCACCGTCAAGTAGCACATGTAGTCGTTTGCCTTTTTTGCAGCTCTAGTAGTTTGCTGAACACGGCTTAATTGTTTCTGAATATTTTGGTGAGAAACATTTCCCGATTACAACTTAAACCTCATAAATAAATAAATAAATAAATAAATAAATAAACGTCATGCCTTCTGCGAATCAGAACAAACTTCCTACGCTTTTTATCAACAACGTGAAGGATGGTGGTTTTGCATCCCGGGGCCTCAGACCCGGGAAGGGGCTCCTGTGTCTGCAAAAGCAGTCTGTGCAGTGGGAGATGGCCTGTCAGCATTGTCTGTCTCTGTCCTCAGTGGCAGGTTCTGAATAGGGCGAAGAGTCACATTCAGGAACAGGAACAAGTCTTGGATAATCTGCTGAAGGTGAAAGGTAACAGGTCCTACCGGCCACCCCCATCGCCCTCCCAGGGGAAGAAAGACTGGTTGGTTTTTCTATTAAAAACAGAGACATTGGGTTAAGTGAAGTGAATGAATATTTACTGAGTACGCACTGTGTGCTAGGTAGGCACTGGGCTTGGGCCAGGGGCACGATGAGATTCACAGCCTGACCTCAGGGTTGTCAGCCGTTGAAGGCACCTGATCTCATCTTGAGAGGCCAGAGAAGACGTGGGCCAGTGTTTGTCAGAACCTGGCTCCCTTCCTTGGCGCTAGGTTTGGAACCAAGAGAGATGGCTGCTGGGAACTTGAGTTTAATGAGCTGGTGGAAGCTGAACTCTGAAAGGGATACTCTCGATGCCTTGAGTGAAACGGGCCAGTCCAAGAAGCCCTTTCTCTTCACATCTGGAAGGAGGGGTGCAGCTGGGCTCTTGACCCCCTAACACCGACCCCGGTTGGGCTCAGGGACCCCCATGCTCCCCTTGGAAAGATAGGAGAGACTCAACAAAGGCCCAGCTTTCCCCCTTGTCTTCAACTCCCTAACAGAATCCTTCAAACTGCAGGATGGAAATGCAAACAGCTTAGAGGAGGTCAAGGAAAACTATGCCAGCATGTTCTCCAGAAATCAGAGGTAAGACCTGGCCCTGGGAGCACCAGGGCCTGCTGGTGTTGCCATCCGCTGTCACGGAAGCCGCTTTCCGCTGCAGCATGAGAAGAGCGGAGGAGGGCTGCTCACCGGTTAGAACCCTCTTGTGCTGGGGAGAATTCTTTCCTATTTTACCTTATAACATGCCTCGGATTTTGTTTTCTGATGATAAAAATCTCTGCTTATTACAGAAAATATCAAAAGTACAGAAAAGCCCTAAAAAGGAAATTAAAATACATATTGTCTCACCTCAAGAAAAACCAATGTTAATTTCAAAGCATAGCCTTCCATTAAAAAAGCATTTTTTTGCACATTATTTTATGGAAAGATGAGATCAAGTATTTATTTTGTATTATAGCTTTTACAAACTCAGTTAGTGGCCTTATTGGTGGGTGCAGATGAAAACAAGGAGAATCCAAAGCGCAGCCTGATTCCCAAGCTCCACAGGAGCCAAGAAAAGCCAGTGTGGACTTCTGGGAGTTTGGATCATGAATGGATGTTGACTTTTGCCAAGTGCTTTTTCTGCATCTAGTGAGATTGTAAAAAATCGTACTATTTTAAAATCAAATATTGATAAGATTTTTAGTCTGTTGATATGGTGAGTTACATGGATAGATTTTCAAAGTTTAAAACAACTGTCTCACATTCATAGAATAAACCCCACTTGGCCATAATATATTAACACACACGCGTGTGTGTTATAATATATGACCTGTATGATGTATATCATATATAATATATCATATATATCTGCTAAGACTGTTAAGAATTTTGGTGTCAATGTTCATGAGGGACATTAATCTGTAGTTATCTTGTTTCTGTTTTCTCACCAGCCTGCTCCCAAATAAGGTTCATCCAGAAGACTTTGACAACTTGTACCCATTTGAGGAAGTCGGAAAGGATGCTGAGGAGGAAGACGAAGAGGAGGAAGAGGAAGAGGAGGAGGAGGAGGAAGACCAAGAAGAGGAGGAAGAGGAGGAGGAGGAGGAGGAAAAAGTGGAGCTCTTACACTCCCCAGTCACTTTGCCACACGACCTCATGGAATTTGAACGGTGTGAACAGCTGGGCGAGGTGGCTCTGTGCACAGCTGGAGCTCCTTTTGGGGAAGGGGCGAGGCTCAGCTGGGCAACGCTGCAGCCTCAGCGAGCGCTCAGGCCAGGCCCTGAGCCGTGGATGCTCAGAATTTCCATACAGGAGGGGCTGGGGGATGGGTTGGCAGAAAAGCTAAAGAAATAGTCTTGAAGTTACATTTGCATAGCACATAACTGTGTTTACTTAGACTGGGTGCTTGTTTGGGGTGCCTTTGGAGGGGGGGTTGATGGTGATTATAAGGGCTAGAGCCCCCTCTCACACACACACCCCAAAAGTCTGTTTTGGGCAGCATTATAGTAAGAAAGATGAGAATGGCTGGCTCAGACTCCACTGCCCTCACCGCCCTCCATGGACTGAGCCCCTTGACAGCCACATCTGCTTCCGGGGCGTTGGCTCAATAGATGGGAGGCTCTGTCCACAACTGAGCCTGACTCTCAGGCCTCAAGTCTAAGCGGGTGTCACATCACGCCTGCACATCCATGGGCTCAGAATTTTAAGCAGTTTTCCTGTGGGGTGAGAGCTGCACCAGCCACGCCTCTCACCGTCTGGTTTATAAGGCACAGGATCTGGGAGGATGTGAGCAAGGGCTGTGAAGCAGAAATCTGTCTCCATGGCCCCGGAGATGACATCTGCTCTCCAAGGCTCAGGGACCCCAGAGACTAGCAATGCCAAGCCCCTGGCACAGCACAGAGGGGGCCAAACGGAGTCCCGAGGAGAAGGCCTGGGGTGGGGGCCCTTGGCCTTGAGCTTCAGGTCTAGGAGATGCTGTCGTTTCTGCTCCAGGTACCTCAACTTTTACAAGCAGACAATGGACCTCCTGACCAGGAACGGGACTGTCTCCTCCCAGGAGGCGACCCTGCCCGTGGTCTCGGCGGCCATCTCCCACCTGTGGCAGACCCTCTCTGAGGAGAAGAAGGCCAGCCTCCTGCAGGCCTTGGAGCAGAAGCACAGCGGCCCGGCGGGCCTCGAGGGGGCCCCCCCGGAGCCAGCCTATGCCGAGGACAGCATGAAGGACAGTGGAGTCGACAGCCAAGGAGCCAGCTGCTCGCTGGAGTCCACCCCGGAGGAGGTGAGCGGTTCCTGGGGGTGGAGTGGAGGGGGTCCCTCCAGGCCAAGTCTGAGGAGCTGTTCGGATTCTGGCCCACGTGGTCAGTGTCTGATTTTCCTGACATCATCTCCACAACCACAGAACAGCATTTCTCATTCTTCGGTTTGTTTCCCGGCCTTTCCCTGGAGGTTATAGAAGAGAAGCCTTAGCCTGGTCCGAGTGGCTCAGTGGTTGAGCATCAACCTACGAACTAGGACAGTGATGGCGAACCTTTTGAGCTCGGCACATCAGCATTTTGAAAAACCCTAACTTAACTCTGGTGCCGTGTCACATATAGAAATTTTTTGATATTTGCAACCATAGTAAAACAAAGATTTATATTTTTGATATTTATTTTATATATTTAAATGCCATTTAACAAAGAAAAATCAACCAAAAAAATGAGTTCGAGTGTCACCTCTGACACACGTGTCATAGGTTCGCCATCACTGAACTAGGAGGTCACGGTTCAATTCCTGGTCAGGGCACATGCCCGGGTTGCGGGCTCGATTCCTAGCCCAGTGTGGGGTGTGCTGGAGGCACCTGATCAATGATTCTCTCTCATCATTGATGTTTCTGTCTCTCTTTCCCTCTTTGATATCAATACAAATATATATTAAAACATAATAATAATTAAAAAGAATAAATTTTTAAAAAGAAGAGATGCCTTAGATCAGCTGTTCTCAACCTGTGGGTCGTGACCCCTTTGGGGGTCGAACGACCCTTTCACAGGGGTCGCCTAAGACCATCGGAAAACACATATATAATTACATATTGTTTTTGTGATTAATCACTACGCTTTAATTATGTTCAATTTGTAACAATGAAATTGGGGGTCACCACAACATGAGGAACTGTATTAAAGGGTCGCGGCATTAGGAAGGTTGAGAACCACTGCCTTAGATGGTTGTATCAGCTGGGCTTTTTATCTGCAAGTTCCTGGCTCATTAAACCCTGAAGAAATGGACGCTCACACCCAGGGAGGTCCCAAGGAAGGGCAGGGTCTGGTCAGCGTCTCAGTGATATTACCATGGACTCTGTTTGTCTCTCTGCTCTGCTTCAGCTTAAGGCTGGTTTCTCACCTTTCCTGTCCTCCCCACTTTCCCTGCCTCTCTGACTCCCACAGCAATCGAGCTGTCATTCCTCTCTATCAGGTTAGAGAGAGAAAGATGTCCTGTGGCTGCTTCTCAAGGATCAAGGAAGAACTTTTCCAGAAATTCCCGTCAAACCTCTTCTCTCTCATTGGCCAGATTTGGCCAGATTGACAGATTACTGAGCCAATGACCTGCATAATCAAGATCAGATTGCATTTAGACCAGTCAGGCCCAATCTCTGAGAGGAGTGTCAGTTCTCACCCCAAAGAGCATTGCTACCATTCAGTGAAGTTGGCTTTGGCCAACCCAGGGCTGGGTGACAAGGCCAGCAGAACAAGGAGCAGTTATGTCCCACGTAGAGACAGAGCCACTGTTCCTGTGGCTTCTAAAGTAGTTGCAGCTCCTGGTCCATCTGGCGTGGTTCTGCTGTGGAACAGCTGTGTTCGGAGCCAGGCGTGGACTCCGGGTCGGGGGGTGCTGGGTGCTCCAGAAGGGCGGTGGGGCCTGCCTGTGCCTCTCCCGGGCTGGCTTGTGAGGGGGTTGCCTGGTGGGGGCAGCGTGTGGCCTGCAACTTCAGTGGGCAAACTGGCTGAGGGCAGGGATTTAGGTCCTGGGCCCCTACCCCCGGCCCGGGGGGAGGCACGCAGAGGTGATGGGCCTCTAGGCTGATGGACACGGGAGCTCACTGACCCCCCCAGATCCTGTTGGAGATGAACAAAGGGATAGCTAAAAGAGGGCACAGGAAATGTCTAGAAAACCAGGAGGGGGCCATCCACAAGGCCAGAGTCCCAAGGGGTTCGGTTCAGGGGAAGCACATTGTCTGAGGGCTCGAAGGGCAGACACAACCCCGGGCGGAGAACCCCCCCTCCTCTCTGGGGGGCTGCCTGTGTGACCGGTGCCGGATAAAACAGCCCGGCAGCGAAATTGTTCATGTGAGAAGGTTCCATGCAATAGTTCATCTAAAATTCAAATTTAACAAAGTATCCTGTATGTTTATTTGCTAAATCTGGCAATCTTAAGTGGATATCACGTTTCTGTGGAATATTTAATATTCTTCAACAAGTTAAGGAGAAGCGGGACCAAAAACTGTCTAAATAGCAAGATTCCCAAGTTGGGGATATATGCCATAATATGCCTAGGGGAAGGATGGAGGGAAAGAAGTCACTATGTTAACAATGGGTCTCTCCAGGTGGCATTGTTTCTTGGTGATTTTTATTTTTCCTATCGGTTTCTATTTTCACGATAAACATGTATTTCTTTTATAAAGCAGACAATATTCAATAATAGCTAATATGGCCCTAACCAGTTTGGCTCAGTGGATAGAGCCTGCGGACTGAAGGGTCCCAGGTTCAGTTCTGGTCAAGGGCACTTGCCTGGGTTGTGGGCTCGATCACCAGTAGGGGCCATGCAGGAGGCAGCCAATCAATGATTCTCTCTCACCACTGATGTTTCTATCTCTCTCTCCCTCTCCCTTCTTCTCTGAAATCAATAAAAATATATTTAAAAAAAATAATAGCTAATATGTTTGAGCCATGATTTGCCTGGTGCCTCACACAGCTCTTATTTAATCCTTGCAAAACCCTATGAGTAGGCACTGTTGTGATTGCTGCTTATAGAGGAGAATTTGAGAGATGAGGTCACTTGTCTTGTGTGTGTATGTGGGGGTACCGCTGCTGGGATGTTTAGGAGCCTCCCCTGCAGCCCTTCAGAGGGGTGCATAATGCAGTGGGAATTCTTGGGGATCCACTTTTTCCTGTGATTCGAAGTGGGCTGGTCCTAGGATTGTGCCATTGCCCTGGGGACAGTATTGTCTGGGGTTCTTCTGTGCAGCTTACTGAGTGGCAGGGCTGGGTGTTGGCTCTCCTGCAGCCTAACTCCAGAGCCGAGTTATGGCTCAAATGGGCTCTGCACCTCCAGGTAAACTGAGGCTCAGCTCTGGCTGCTGCATCTCAGCCTTCTTCTTTAGAAAGAGGAAACCACCGTCCCCAGCACCTCCCTCTGGGGTGGGCAGTTTGTTCTGGGCGGGCAAGAGCTTCATATTCCATCCTGGGAAGGTCACCAAGCAGAGACCCTGAGAGTCTGATCGGGCCCAGCATTCATGGGCACGCCCTTCGGAGCTGAGGGGGAAAGAGAGACGGTCTTGCTCCTCATCCTGCAGCAGCCCAGGGCAAAGGTCAAACTGTTCTGTGCTTTCTTTCAGCTCCTTTTTGAAGATGCCTACGATGTGGCATGTTTCCTGGATAAAAGTGAGGCGTCTAGCTCCAGGTGAGGACAGGGTATGAGATGGTGTGTGTGTGTACATGTGTGTATTGTGTGTGCATGTGTGTACGCACATGTGTGAGTGTGTGCATGTGTGTGTGGGGGTACCCCTGCTGGGATGCTTAGGAGCCTCCCCTGCAGCCCTTCAGAGGGGTGCATAATGCAGTGGGAATTCTTGGGGATCCACTTTTTCCTGTGATTCGAAGTGGGCTGGTCCTAGGATTGTGCCATTGCCCTGGGGACAGTATTGTCTGGGGTTCTTCTGTGCAGAAAATTCTTCCATCCTGGCCCAGGGCTGACACACAGGTTATCAACTCCAGATTGTCCATGTTGCCCTGTTTTCCCAGGGTGAGGTGGCCACGGGCAGGTTACAGCCCTCGGTCTGACCTGAGAGGCGGGCGGGGGATCTGGCCCCGAGAAACTGAGCCAACATGGAAACAGGCCCCATGTCCCTCTCCTTTCCTCTCTGAAATCAATAAAAAATCTTTTTTCTACTTTGCCTGGGAAAGGTGGGGGCTGCTGCCAGAAGGTTCCCAGCTGGCTGGAATGTGAGGTCAAAATGCCAGCTGTCCTGGTGTGACTCCCGGCTTCTTTGCTCTGGGTCCCTGGGTGTTGGCTTCTCTCCTTGTCCCAGGAAGGCAGGGGGAAGGACTCTGCAAAATAGGCCTTTTCTCTGCATCCGTGTTCCCCCTGAGACCTCCTGGGTGGAGGCATCTGAAGGGACTGAACTCAAGTGTGCGATGTGCCGGCAGGTGGGCCAGAGCCTTGGGGCATCGCTGTAGAGGTCGACTCTTAGGGACAGAGGACATCTTGTCCCTTTGTTCCTTAGGCCATAGCTCAGGGCCCTACATTGGGACCCAGGAGCCAGTCCCCCCATTGTCTCACTTTCCCAGCGGGTGCCAGATGTGACATTGAGCTGAGGCGATGCAAACCTTCCAAGAAGGACTCCTGGCTCTCCGAGGACTCAGCTGGGTGTTTGAAAGTGCTTGGTTCACACCATCATCCGAGTTTTTAGGGGTTACGAGCAGAGGTCAAAGAGTAGGATTCAAAACATTGGCTGTTTCTCTCCTTCTCTGCCGTCAGTTCTCTGTTCGCCAGCTGCAACCCAGAGAACCCAGAAGAAAAGTTTCAGCTCTACACGCAGATCATCGACTTCTTTGAAGACCTCTGCTGTGTCCACACTCAAGAGAAGCAGGTAGGACGGAGCGGAGTGGGAGACCTCCGCCCCGCTCCCCTCCATCCGCAGGATCCAGGTCCCTTGAGGGGAGCTAGATCTCACCCGGATCACACCACAAGGCCAGGTGGGGACGCTCTCTCATTCTCTGTGGCCTGCTCCATGGATGCTCGACTTCAGCCTAAGGCAGCCTGTGGGATGGAAGACGTCGGGGAAACTGAGGGGAGAGAGAGGGGTGCCCTTTAGGGCAGACCCTGATGTAGCGACCAGGTCCCAGGGCCTGGCTCGTCCCAGGAATTCCTAAATGTCCTGTGACTCCTTGACTCCTTGCCAAGAGGCAGGGCTGTTTCCCCATCCAGACCCCGGGCGATATTTGCTCTCAGCTTTGGGAAGATGTTAATTTCTGGCGGTGGAACTTGTAATGACATAAGTAGCGCAGGTCTTGGTTAGGAGGTATATTCTGGAAGCTTTCTTGCGGGGAGGAGTTTATGCCTGAGCCATGAAGTGTCATAGCCATAGCTTTGCTGTACTAATTTAGAAAAACTACAATTGTCTGTCTTAAAAGGTAAGCAGCAATAATGAGAATGTCTGTGTAAAAATAACCAGGACAGCTTTTCAACAGGCTGAGGAGTAGCGTGGCCCTTTTCCCACGGAGCCCCGGTGGGAACGCATTAGTGGGACAGTCTTTGCTCTCCCTGCCTCCTTGCTGGACTCGGGGCAGAAAAGGAAGAACAAGCAGGGGTGGACGTAGCCGCACAAAGCAGAGGCGCTCAAACTGGGATCACCTGGAGAGCGTCTTGGAAATGCGGGCTCCCGGGGCCCCAACCCCCAAGGTGCTCACTCAGTGCTTCGAGGTGGGTCCCCAGGAATCTGTATTTTGAACAGGTTACTCTAGAGCAAGCATGTCAAACTCAAAGGCTAACACGGGCCAAATAAACAAGGCATGCGGCCCACGGGCCGTGAGTTTGACATGCTTGCCCTGGAGGTTCTGGTGCAGGAGGCCTGGGGCCTTCAGAGCTGCTGGTGTGAAGAGGGAACTTCCATTCTCTCCCCATCCATCTCCCCGTTGGCTCCGTGGGAGGTGGCCGAGTGACACTTCATTGTTGGTGCCACACACTAGCACCAGCTCGGTGGTGCACAACTCCTCATTCTGGAGGCCAGAAGGCAAATGGAAGTGCAGGCAGGGCATGCCATCGTCTCTGGAAGCTGGAGGGAGGAATCCCACCATGCCTGGTCCTCGCTTCTGGCGGCCCGCAGCCCTCACACTCTTCGGCGGGCAGCTACATCCCTTCAGCCGCTGCCGCTGCCTTCACAAGCCCTTCTTCTGTGCCTCTCGGTCCCTCTCATCTTCTTATAAGGACGCCAGTCATTGGGATTGAGGGCCACCCCGAGTCCAGGATGAGTTCATCTCAAGACCCTTAACTCATCATAATTGCAAAGACCCTCTTTCCAAATAAGGTGGACAAGAACTTGGGGGAACACTAGTCCACACACCGCAGCACCCCAATTCCTGAAAACACCTCTCACAGCTGTTGCTTTTGCAAACCTGCAGCTTCACATGCCTCAGACGCCATTTTCAGGGGCTTAAGGAACTAGAACATTCTGAACATTATTCGAGCACTTTGTGTGACAGACTTGAGTGTCTGGACCCCTTGCATCCCCTATACTCCGACTCCCTCTTTTCTCAACCTTTGCCGTTGCCTTCACCCTGAACAAGGGGCCCGGGTGATCTTCCTCTGACCACCGGATCCCTCTCGGATACGCTGGCTCCCCGTGCACCCGCCCCCCTCAGGAGAGCACGGGAATGAGGACCCTTCTCCTGAGCTGGAAAGGCTTCATCTGCAGGCTCATCCCCCAATGTGGCTGTCACCCTGGGACCAGGTTCCACATTCATGAGATGGTTACGGGGGGGATGCCTCCCAGGGCCCCAGGGGATCAACCCCAGACCAGCAGGGCTAACAGATGACCGGGATCATTTCCTGCTGGGGTGGGGAGAGGCAGCACATGCAAAAACCCAGGGACATACTCTCAGAGGGAGAAGTGACGGGGGATTCGGAGAGGTTGGCTGGAGTCCTTGTAAAGGGAATGAGGAACTTACTAAACAGACATGGTGCTGCTTCTTGAAAAAAACGATCTCCTAACAGCGCACCCGTGTTCAACTTCAAGTTACCAAAAGGCACACAAGGAAAACAGTGTCTTTCCTACCAGCGCCCCTTGGTTACGACCCAGCCCTGCCTCAAAGGCAACCACCACGACCAGTTTCTTGAACAGCCATCCAATGTTTATGAATTCTTTCAAACACAAATGGCGGTCTGCTGTGCACCTTGCTTTGCATCTTGTCCTTTTTTAAAAAAATATTTTTGACTTTTATTTATTTATTTATTTTTTTAGAGAGAGAGAGAGGAAGGGAGAGGGAGGAAGAGAGAGAAACAGCGATGTGAGAGAGAAACATCAAACACTAATTGGCTGCCTCCTGCATGCCCCGCACCGGGGATGGAGTCCGAAACCCAGGAATGGAACCAGCAACTTTTTGGTTCATGGGACGATGCTCAACCAATTGAGCTACACCAGCCAGGGCGCTCTTGCCCTTTTAAATTAGTACGTCCCACAGATAGAGAGCGATTACATTCCTTTTTTTGAAACATGGTGTTCCATTGGTAGATGCGTCACGGTGTAATTCAAAGTCCTCTATTGATAAGCATTTGAATAAAGCTTTAAGACTTCGCCTGTCTCTCTTCTGGGCTCCTGGAATTCCCCAGGATAGGAAAGAAGCCAGTCTGCAGTATCCAGGAAAAGCCTTTTTTGTGGTCAAAGAGTAAAATGGACATGGGACCTCCCCCCCACTGCCCTTACTTCCTGGCCATAAGCTGGGGGTGAAGATGCAGCTGAAAAGATGTGGGTAGAGACTGAGGGAGCGGGGCACACCTACGGTGGAGGAGCCTCCTCACCCCCCAATCTGGCTGTTGCCCAGGGCCAGGAATCCTTAAAAAAATATCAATCCTCTTCCACCCTGTGTGTTGCAGGAAGCAGACCTTCCCATAGACGACGAGCTGTTGATGTTGCAGTGCTTGGAGACCTTTGATGATGAAGATCTGTAGTGCAGAAGGGCTGGGAGGGGAGGCAATGAAGGAAGTGGACAGTTTGCAAGTTTGAATGCCCGTTGCACCCGCCTCGGCCTTCTGGGATATTTTGGATGGACTCTCCCAGAAGCATGTTGATGGTTTTCGTTTTGATTATTATAAAGCGTTAAGAACAGCGTGGCTCTGTGTTGGTCTTTCAGGGTTGTTTGGTGAAGGAACTGTCCTGCAGGGGACACACCTGCTCCCCCTCTGCTCCTTTGGGCGGGGTGGTGCCGGGCGTCGCTGAGGCGCAGGCCCTGGGCCTTCCCAGAGGAGGACAGGCAGCACCTGTCTGTGGAGGTGCCAGGATCCTGGGTACTTTCCGTGCACTCTGGGTTCAGGTTGTTGTTCTGCGGGGTTCTGGAGAGTTCTGGGGACCACCCGTTCATCCTGCATGCTCTGGGAGCCCGGAATAGTGCTGACCCCAAACGAGTGCTACAGGACACCAGTCAGGGTGGGACCAGCGACACCTGCTTCTTCTGGTAATAAAGACCCCTGAACGGAGCCCATGCCAGGTCCCAGCGCTTTCCAGTGAGGCTCCTGGACAGAGAGTGTATCATGTCCCTGGGCATGTACACTGGGAGTGATATTTGGTCAAACATGATTCTAGATGCTTCTATGACGGTATTTTTGATATAATGAACATGTAAATCAGTAGACTTTGAGTAAAGCAGGTTACTCGCCCTAATGTGGTGGGCCTTGTCTAATCAGTTGAAGGACCGACTAGACCAAAAGAAAAGACTTAGGGGAGAAGGAATTCTGCCAATGACAGCCCTCAGAGACTCAGGCTGCAACTCTCCCAGCCTACTGGAGTCTACCCTGCAGATTTTGGACTTGCCAGCCTCCACAATCCAGGAGCCTATGGTTTAAAGACTCTCTCTCTCTCATGTGTGTGTGTGTACAGCACATATGTGCATATATAGTACATAGCTAACACGTGTATATAGGCGTGTGAACATATATGTATGTAGGTATGTGAATATATGTATGTGAACATACACACACATGCTGTTGACTTGTTTTCTCTAGAGAACCCTGACGAATCCACTGAATGTACAGAGAGAATGGGGATGGGTTTGCCTGGATCTTTACAGTTTACACATTTTAGCGACAGTAGCTCCCCTCTACTGAAGGCTGTTTCATCTGTCTGCTCCACAGCCCAGCTCTCACCGCTCACCGTCCTGTGATGCAGGAAGCAACCCCAAGGACGCCCACTGGGGGGGTGCAGGGCTGCAGCTTTGTTGGCACCTGACTGTTTGCAAACTGCAGGGGCACAGAGGGGAGGGCCTGGAGGGGCCAGCAGGGCCACCTGCCTCTTTGGGAAGAGACCTGTTCTTTCAGCCAACAGCCCCATCTCCGTCCCCTGCTCCACCCGAGGCTTCTTCTCCCAAGGCATCAAAATGTCCTAAGAACACGCAGACTGCGGGAGTTTCGATGGGGATGGACATCAGGCTACACTGGTTTCCATGACAGACAGCAGGGCTGGAGCCAGGGAAGGATGCAGCCTGAGGCCAGGCCGCGGGGACGGAGTGCCAGGTCACAGCATGCTTGTCATGGTCTTCACCTACTGCGTATTCAGCTGCCACACTGTATAGGATGCTGGGGGTGCTCAGGAGGGTGTGGTCCCTACCCATGGCTGCACATTCTGGGTTGGGGTGGGGTGGAGACGGCTTGGGGACGTGCATCAGAGAGACAGCCTCACATCCGGGTCTCTATGGCACCCTGTGGGCGCTCTCCTGAGAAATCCTGGGAGCAGAGTGTGAGCTGACTCACTCCCATCTCCCCTTTCCCACCAGGTTCCCGCCTGGGCCAGAAGGGGAGGAACCGGGTGCAGGAGGAAGTGCAGCACTTGGTGCCAATCCCACAGGGGAGGGCGTAGATCTCCAAGACCCTCGTAGTCTCCTCCGACCCCTGGGCTTGACTCCATGCCAGGAGGCCTCGCTCCTCCAGACTTCCTGAGAGGAGACAGGGAGCAGTCAAGACTGGGCGCAGGGAGAGTGGGCGAAGGTGAGCTGGAAGGCGCCTCTGGTGCCCCTTGCAGGCACTCATGAGGTCTCCTCTCAGCGCCCTCCACCTGCCAACAGAGCCGCCAAGCCCATCGCAGGAATCACAGCTCAGCTTTACCGGGCTCCTCAGGCATCCCTGAGCCCCAGGTGGGGCTGACCGTGCAGAACTCGGGCAGGACCTTCTATGAACCACTGTCCTGTCATTGGGGCTGGCTTTTCCACATGTTAATGTTTCTGGAATGCAGACACATTTTACACGTGGAGGAGACAGGAATGTGGAAAAGAGAATAGAAGCAGATGCTATCATAGAGGTCATTGCAAGAGGCTGTGGGAGGGCCAAGAAGGGAGTGTGGGGGCCCAGCCAGAGTGGCTCAGTGGTTGAGTGTCGTCAACCTATGAACCAGGAGGTCACAGTTCAATTCCCAGTCAGGGCACATGCCTGGGTTGCAGCTTGATCCCCAGGGTCGGGTGTGCAGGAGGCAGCCGATCAATGATTCTCTCTCATCATTGATGTTTCTCTCTCTCTCTCTCTCTCTCTCTCTCTCTCTCTCTCTCTCTCCCTTCCTCTCTGAAATCAATGAAAATATTTTTTTTAAAGAAAAGAAGGGAGCATGGGAAGCCATCGATGATGGTAGCTCTGCACTCTCCACCTTCCACATCCTCAGCACTTAGAGACCCAGTTGGCTAATCATCGTACTTATCACCTCGATGGCAATTGCCTGCTTTCTTGACTCTCTCCCACAGTAGCCTGTTTCTGGGAGGCAGGGGGCATGTCTTTCTGCTCTTCATATTCTCAGTTCCGGACCACCGGAAAGAAGCAAGTATTGCAGTGATGGCGAACCTTTTGAGCTTGGCGTGTCAGCATTTTGAAAAACCCTAACCTAACTCTGGTGCCATATCACATATAGAAATTTTTTGATATTTGCAACCATAGTAAAACAAAGACTTATATTTTTGATATTTATTTTATATATTTAAATGCCATTTAACAAAGAAAAATCAACCAAAAATATGTCGTATGTTCGCCATCACTGAAGTATTGTAATAAAGTGAGTCATAATCTTTGTGCTGGTGAAGTTTGTTTTAAAAAAACACACAACATAATATCTGTGAACCACAATAAAGTGAAGTGCAATAAAACAGGGTATGCCTGTACATAGCACCAGGAACACAAGTGCTCAAGGGGTTTCTATTAAAAACTAGAGGCCTGGTGCATGGATTTGTGCACTGGTGGGGTCCCTTGGCCTGGCCTGCAGGGATCAGGCTGAAACCAGCAGTCCAATATTCCCTGAGGGGTCCCGGAGTGGGAGAGGGCACTCTGCAAAGTTGCTGTCACTCAGCAGCTCCTGCATTGAGCGTCTGCCCCCTGGTGGTCAGTGTGCATCATAGCTACCAGACGGTTAGCCCACCTGGTCGCTTAGGCTTTTATATATATAGACTAGAGGCCCGGTGCACAAAAATTTGTGCACTCGGGGTGGTCCCTCAGCCTGGCCTGTGCCCTCTCGCAGTCTGGGACCCCTTGGGGGATGACCACCTGCTGGTTTAGGCCCACTCCCTGGGGAATTGGGCCTAAGCTGGCAGTCAGACATCACTCTGGCAGCCCGGGAGCCCTCGGGGGATGTCCACTTCCCAGTGGGGAGCAGGCCTAAGCTGCAGTCGGACATCCTTAGCGCTGCTGAAGAGGCGGGAGAGGCCCCTACCACTACCGCTGTACTGGCAGCCATCAGCCTGGCTTGTGGCTGAGCAGAGCGCCCCCTGTGGGAGCGCACTGGCCACCAGGGGGCAGACGCTCAATGCAGGAGCTGCCCCCTGGTGGTCAGTGTGTGTCATAGTGATCAGTCATTCCCAGTCTTTCTGCTGTTAGGGTCAGTTTGCATATTACCCTTTTACTATATAGGATAGAGGCCTGGTGCACGGGTGGGGGCCGGCTAGTTTGCCCTGAAGGGTGTCCCGGATCAGGGTGGGGTCCCGCTGGGGTGCTTGGCCAGCCTGGGTGAGGGGCTGAGGGCCGTTTTCAGGCTGGCCAAGCCCCCCGGTGATGGAAGCTCCCAGCTTCTCCTTCTTTTCTTTTCTTTTTTAATTTGGGATTTATTTACCTTCTATAATTGAAACTTTGTTGCTTCAGTGGAGCTCAGAGCTGGCCAGGAAGCTTGGCTTCCTCCATCACTGGAGCAATCAAGCCTCCTGCTTGCTTCAGCTCCATGGCTGCTGGCCACCATCTTGGTTGGGTTAATTTGCATATAGCCGCTCTGATTGGCTGGTGGGGGGGGCTTAAGGCGTAGCGAAGGTATGGTCAATTTGCATGTTTGTCTTTTATTAGATTAGATATTAGTGAATGAGTGAATGAATGAATGGATACCTGCATTCTCTCCCTTGTCAATTAGACTGCAGGCTCTAAGAGAGCCAGGCCTATGTCTTTTTCTTTTTGCTTCTGGTGTATTTATCACCTTAAAGCCCTGTGATGAGCTGAACTGTGTCCCCCAAAAAACTATGTTGAAGCCCTAATGATTGTATTTGGAGATAGGAGCTTTTAAGAGATGACTTAAAAGTTAAGGAGGGGGGCTTTGGGGTAGGCCCTAGTCTAATCTGATGGGTGTCTTTATAAGAAGAGGAGACTAGGACACAGGCAGAGATCCCGGGGATACACACCCACAGAGGAAAGGGCAAGTGAGGACACAGTGAGAAGGCAGCCGTTTGCAAGCCTAGGAGAGAGGCCTCAGGAGAAACCAACCCTGCCAACACCTGGATCTCAGATTTCCAGGCTCCAGACTGTGAGAAAATACATTGTGGTTGTTTAAGCCCCCAAGAAAGCTAATACAGACCCATATGCCCCACCCAGACCCATGGCCCATGCAGACTGTGGCCAGCCTGACCTGGTAATCAGTGCTGGAGAAACAAGGCGAGTGGCCCACATGCTGGCCACCTACCAAAACAGCTAGCTTACAGCACGAAGGGAGCCCTACCAGGGATGGTGTTGTCCAGGAGGAAGGCCAGAAATCCACCGACAAACATGCCCGTGGTCAGCAGCACCTGGATGACCTGGTCCAGCTGGAGAATCCCTGGAGTGGAAATAAAAGTGATGAGGATTCCCAGGGCGCGAGGGCCCCGCTGGCCCGGCCCCTGGAGTGGTCACGGTCCTGAGGCTGACGAGTCACCTGTCTGGAGCAGGTGCGAGTTCTTGTTCACCCAGTTGGGAATGGTGAGCCCACAGTAGATGGAGAAGCCAAAGACAAAGAGGTTCCTGGACGAGTTCATGTCCACGTGCTGCGGGGAGAGAGGCCCCAGCCGCCCGGAGACGCCAGTGCTGTGGCTGCACGCCCAGCTGACACCCCCTCCAAATGCCCCTTCCTCCCACCGCCACCATAGGTGTGGGGGCAGGAGGCTGAACTCAGCAACACATGCTCTCAGTGGACAAGCCAAGCTCCAATTCCCACTTGACCTTGGGAGCTCAGTGGTTTGGGTAACCCAATTCAAACTGATACAATTTCTGGTTTGGGGTGCTTCTATTTCTTTCTTCCATTGGGAGCCAGTGTGGTTACTGGGACCAAGGATCCCCCCTCTTCCCCTTCCCTGGCCCTGTTCCACTCATCTCAATCCTGTGGGCTCCTTCCAGGGTGGGAAATGCTGCTGCATTCCCACGGGCGCCCGGCTCACCTGCAGATTGGAAATCCCCACGGCTGCGATGATCCCGAACATCACGATGAACATGCCTCCGATCACGGGGGTCGGGATGGTGGCAAAAGCAGCCCCGATCTTCCCAAAGACACCCATCAGGAGCAGCACGCAGCCCGAGGAGACAATCACCATCCTGCTCCCCACCTGAGGCATCCGGGAGATGGGAGGCGGAGCTCAGCACCAGCTGGGCCCCATGCCACCGGGGCCTGCACCCTGCTCCCGGGGACTCACAGCAGCAGCAGGAGCAGCACCACCACCTAACCCCAGAGTGGCCCCCCTCTGCTCTCACATGGAAAGATGGGGGTGTTACCAGGTGGCAGCTGAAGACTCAGGTCTGGAGGTCTAACCCAAGCTGGGCCAGAGGTAAGTGGCCTCCCACCCAAATTTCAGACAGTGAGGCACTTCTCCAGGGTTCACAAAGCCACTGACTCCTACGGGTGCCAGCAGAGGCTTTCTGCCTGTGGAATGGCCACAGCCAAGAAGGGCAAGTGTGGTAAGCGGAAGGATGGTCCTTCGAAGAATCACATCCTAATCCCCAAACCTGGGCATATGTCACCTTGCAGGGCAAAAGGGACTTTGCAGATGTGATGACGTCGAAGGTTTTGAGATGGAGAGTATGCTGAGTGATGCAGGGAGGCCTGATAATCACACGGGTCCTGATGAGCAGAGAACCTTTCCTGGCTGTGGTTTCAGGGAGATGTGACTTGGAAGAGAGGCCGGAGAGAGGCAGCATGGCTGGCCTGGACGGTGGGGGATGGGGAACCGTAGCCCAGGCATGTGAAGGGCCTCTAGCTGATGGGAAAAGCCAGGCGGTGGCTTCTCCTCTGGAGCCTCCAGGAAGGAACACCGCGCTGCCAACACCTCTATCTCACCCCCATGAGTCCATGCCAGCCTTTCGGCCTCCGGATCAGTAAAGTAAATTTGGGTTGTTTGTAATCACCAAGTTTGTGTTCATTTGTTATAGCAGAAATAGGTGACTAATACACTGAGTGACAGATTTAGGTCCCCCACCTGCCCCCAGGAGCCACCGTCAGCAGCCTTACCTTGGTGATACCCAGTGCCCCCACGTTCTCGCTGTAGGAGGTGGTGCCGTTCCCTGTGCCCCAGGCCCCTGCCAGCAGACAGCCGAGGCCCTCAATGCCAATGCCGCGGTTGATGGCATGCTTTGGAGGGGGCGGGGCCCCCACCAGCCGGGCACAGGCATAGTAATCGCCTACTGATTCCACGATGGAGGCGATCACCCCGGCGATGAACCCAAAGACCCCAGCCAGGCTGATGGTGGGGAGACCCCACTGTCCTGAAAATGCAATGCAGAGGGAATGTTAATCCAGAAGATAACAGGGTGCTGAACCCCAATAATGTCTTTGCTGGAGGGGTCCCTGAAAGGCTTTGAAGACCAGGCAGCATGTCTTCAACCCCATAATAGTCCAGCAGTTTTGGCTCAGACTCCTGCCCTATCCTTTCTCCTCGGGGCGGGGCAGACATGCCGACCTTGAGGTCACTGTGCACAAAAAGAGCCAGCAATGGGGTGTCTCCCCAGAAAGGCCTTGAAGCATTTGGAAGATGAGAGTCTTACTCAGGCCAGGGCAGCCCCGTGGAACCTGGTTATTCATAGGCCCTGAGCCAAGAACTGCGGGGAAGGCAGACCAGAAGTGGCTAAGGGATGGCCTTGAACTTGTCTCCCTCAACATGTTCTCATTCAGTCCCAGGCCTCCCTTGTGTGGGATCTAGCGAATTCGAGAGGAGACCCACAGGTCTGGCTGGGAGGTGGGGACCTCTCTGTCCTCTCCCCTCTCCCAGGCTCACGGCTCTGAGCAGCGTGGAGGGGGATGAGATGTAGGCCAGCTCAGGGCGAGGCCGAGAGTGGGAGCGTCTTGTCCAGCAGTACAGTAATCAGTATGGGTTGTTTGAAGCCACTAAGTTTGTGCTAATTTGTCACAGTAGAAATAGGAGGCTAATTAATTGCGTGACAGATTTAGGTCCCCCACCTGCCCCCAGGAGCCACCGTCAGCAGCCTTAGCCTGGTGATACCCAGTGCCCGACATTCTCGCCATTGGAAGGGGTACTATTCTCTGTCCCCATAGGATTCTTAGGACAACCCAGGGGTCTCCTTCTCTTTGGGGTCTGACATGGACTCCCCAAGGCCTGTCCCTCATCGTCAGATTCCTTGGAGGAAAACCCACCCCCAGCCCTATTCAACTCTCCATCCCGTGTCCTGGGTCCCACGGGCAGCCCTGGGAAACGTGCCCCAGGCCAGAAGGGTCCCCTCTTCTCATTACCTGGGTAAGGGAAGCGGAACCAAGGGGCTTGGCTCAGGACGTCGCCTTTGGTGTCTGTGCGGGCCAGGTACCCGTAGGCGGTGGGGGCCGAGGGGAGGGTGTTGGTCTCCGTGAGCGCGAAGCACAGGAGCCAGGAGATGCAGAGCGCCAGCAGCACCTGCCAGAGGAAGGAAGCGCCTTCACCACTAGCTGCCCCCCGCCCCTGCCCTTGCCACCCATCCCCGAAGGCCCTTCCAGGGACAACAGGAATCAGCTGTGCTGCGGACAATCCGCACATTAACAGAGCGGAGCGTAGAAAATAAACAACGGGGAGCCCCTGTGTCAAACAGAGGCAGAATGTCTACTAATGTGGGCACTTATTACGTAGTCTGTCTCCCTTTCTGCTGTTTGCTGGTCACATGACCTGGGATCAAATCCTCTGAGCCGCAGTGTGCTCTCTGTGCAATGTTACAGTCACTGTCCTGTGGAGCCTGAAGCAGGCGTTTTTACAGCAAGGCCTCAGATATACGACTTTTCATTCCTGGTGGCTGAATTTTTCATTTCAAGTGACTCATATGCACACTACATTTTGGAACCACTGGCCTAGAGGGGCGTTGAAGGATCAATGAGATCCCTACATGGAGGAATCGTCTCACAATGTGAAGTGCAGTTCACAGTCAGGCAACCCTGAAAACACCTGCGTGATGGACAGCTGCATATACTTGACGGTGTGGTGCACATTCCACAGAGAAGGCTCTGCAAAGGGAGGTGCCATCGTCTTCACGGGGCACTGGAATTACCCATGAGCCACTGAGAAAGAACCTGATCTAAGCATCTTGTCCCTTAGTTTTATATAATTAGCCGTGAGCCTGGCTGTCTCCCCAGGATCTCGCTGTGAATGGCCTCGGAACAGGAGGACGCTGTCCCACCCCGGTGCCCAGAGCAGCACCCAGGGCAGGATTCTCTGCTCCTGGGAGAGAAGCACTGAAAGGAGCCCTGGAATGGCATTACCCCAACGGCCAGGGAGCGTTCCCACAGACCACAGGTGGACTCAGGAAGGTCACGGAGGGGAGGCCACTGCAGATGGGGGAGCATTTGATTGGGGGCCATCCGGGAGTACAAGACACTGCCCCTCACTCTCCAGGTGAGTCAACTTAGAATGGAAGAGGGTGGGGAGTCCTTCTTACAGGAAAGAGCTGAAACAGGTGGATGCTAGACGTGTGACACTTCTCCTGTCGTCCATAAAGGGGCACAGGCACTGGGATGTGCTTCAGGTATTGAGAAAACAGCATGATGAGGAAGATGGTCCTGAAACAGAAACATGCCACACCCCACCTGGAAGCTGGGGCTGCCCTGAGCGAGGGCCCAGGACACTGAGCCCCCGGGGGAGGGTCCCAGCCAGGCCCTGCTCTGCAGCCCAGGCAGCGTCCTGCCGGCTCTGGGAAGGAGGGCTGTTCCCAGAGAACTAGTGGGAAGTGGGGGGCGGGGGTAGCATTCCCTGTGGGTGGCAGCTGAATGGACCCAGCAGTTGGAGCCCACGAGGCCAGGGTCTGAGATCACCTTCTCTCCCAGGTCATTCTGCAGGTGCTGTGGTCAGACCACAGTGGGCAGAGTGAACGGTAATGTCCAGCGTCATCCTCAAGCCCTTCAGAGCTCTGTTTGCATGCGGGGGCCTCTGTCCAGGAAGCCATCCTGATGCCCCGAGCTGGTGTCACCACCCCTCCCTGAACATGCCCGGCATTCTCCCTCTCACCCACTGTCTCCTGGGGTCAGTCTTCTCTCTCCCACACTGTAATGTGAGGCCATGCTTTGCTCCCTTCCCAAGTGCCAGAGGTTTAGTTGCTCAATGAGAACCTAGTAGGCAGGGAACTGGTGGTATCCACTTACTGTGAACCCCACACAAAGTACTTTATTCTTCACTGCCTGTGGTTACCCATAGTCTATGTGTACTAACAACATAGTAAATAGCAGTAATAATCTCTATATATAAAAGGCTAAGCGACCGTCCGACAGTCCGACTGTCCGGTAGGTATGATGCGCACTGACCACCAGGGGGCAGATGCTCAACGCAGGAGCTGCGGAGCTGCAGTGACTTGGCAGTGGCGGTTCTCGAGGGACACACCCTGGAACCAGAGAGAAGGGAGCCTGATTCCTGGAGGGGCTGTGTGATTCTACCTTCGGCTGTGGGTTATGTTGTTGCTGGGGCACTGTCGGCCCCAAATCTGGTTTACTGCACACTTGTGTTTGCTTTCCACACCCTGTACAACAGCAACTTTGCAGAGTGCCCTCTCGAACTCCGGGACCCCTCAGGGATGTTGGAGAGCAGGTTTTGGCCCTATCCCCACAGGCCAGGCTGAGGGACCCCACCTGTAGGAGGGACTCCGCTCACTCCGCAGACGCCCTTCGAGCTGCGGCACCGGCCCAGGTGGGACCGCGGGAGGTTGGCTCCAGGGCGTGGCCAGCCCATCTCATCCAGTCCCACCCTGCCAGCCACCTTCTAATTAATTTCCTTTCAATGTGCACGAATCCATGCACCCGGCCACTAGTAAATTAGAAGCAGCAATCTCACTGCTTTTCAAGGCATCATAATGTTCTTGGAAGTATTTGAAAAGCACAGAGTTGGCCAATATCCAGGACTCTTAGTATTCTTGCTGAGTCATCTTCCACCAAAGAGAACTCAGATAGCTCTCCCTCCCAGGAGAGGACTTACATGGCGGCGATCCCCCAGTGGGCCCCGGCATCATTGCCCGCAGAGTCGAAGAGAGGCAGGGCCACCAGGGAGATGGTCGGAGCAATGGTCAAGGGGCCAATGAAGCGCATGAGATAGCCAACCAGTCCCGAGAAGCCCAGGAGCATCTGGAAGCAGGAAGCGGCCATGACGACGCCCTGCAACTGAAGAGCGGGCAGCTCAGGCATCTGGGAGCCTGCAGCAGAGGGCGGGCCCCAGCCCAGCCAGGCCACTGCTCCGGCTGGTCACTCCTGGGTGCTATAGTCAGAGGCAGTGCAGGGGCAAAGCGGGACCCCAGAGGCGCCAAGGGAAGGAGAACTCTGAGCTCACTCCTCTCTCTAGCTCTGGACTAGCTGTTGGACATTTTCACTTGGTACGAACCTTCTCAGGAAGTAGCCTTCGAAAGCATTTATTGCCCTAGCCAGTTTTCTCAGTGGTTAGAGTGTCGGCCCGAGGACCTGAAGGGTCACGGGTTCGATTCCCGGTCAAGGGCATGTACCTCAGTTGCAGGCTCTATCACCCAGCCCAGGTCAGGGAGCACGTGGGAGGCAACCAAGTGATGTGTCTCACATCAATGTTTCTCTCTCTCTCTCTCTCTCTCTCTCCTCCATCCCTTCCACTCTCTCTAAAAATCAATGGAAAAATATCCTCAGGTGAGGATTAAAAAAACAAAAGTATTTATTGATCATAGTGATGATGATAATGACTCCTTTTTAAAAAATATATTTGTATTGATTTCAGAGAGGAAGGGAGAGGGAGAGAGAGCTAGAAACATACATGATGAGAGAGAATCACTGATTGGCTGCCTCCTGCACACCCCACATTGGGGATCCGGTCTGCAATCTGGGCATGTGCCCTGACCGGGAATCGAACTGTGACTTCCTGGGTCATAGGTCGACACTCAACCACTGAGCCACGCCAGCTTGGCCTGCCTTTTGTGGTTTTAACTGAGCATTTATTTGATTCCATTTTATCTCCTTTCTTAGCATTTTCTCTTCTTTTTAAACTTTCTGTTTTGGTGGTTGCCCTAGAGCCGTGGTCGGCAAACTGCGGCTCGAGAGCCACATGCAGCTCTTTGGCCCCTTGAGTGTGGCTCTTCCTAAGCCTTAGGAGTACCTTAATTAAGTTAATAACAATGTACCTACCTATATAGTTTAAGTTTTAAAATTTGGCTCTCAAAAAAAATTTCAATCGTTGTACTGTTGATATTTGGCTCTGTTGACTAATGAATTTGCCGACCACTGCACTAGAGTATGTAATATACATTTATGGCTAATCCAAGTTCAGTTTCAAATAACTTTATGGGGACTATGAGCACCTTACAATAGGACAGTAATCCTAATGTACCCTACCTGTCCATTGCTGTCATTCATTTCACTTAGCAGCCTAAGACTATACGTAGAAACTACCATGACCCTGGAAGGTGAGGCTAAAACGGGTCTGATTTTAAAAGCTGACCTTGCCATCTCTTCCCCGTTTTCTACTTTTCCTGCTACCACCATGTCCTTAAAACAGAATCACAGCTCAGTTTCACCTCAGCTACTTCTCAGGTCCCGGCAGGTAATGACATCCCTATTGGCCCTACACGCGCCTCGCTCTTACTTGTGGCTGGGATTGTGATGCACAGGTGGTCTGCCGACCCTCAGCGATTTCAAGACTTGAGACGCGTGTGGACAAGAATAACTCAGTGAAACACGGAGAAGCCGCCTTAAATTCCAATAGGCTGGCCTAGTGAGTAAAACCAATCTATCAAACAATTAATAAAAGGAGGTGTAACATTGTCCGGTTTATAGCACTGGTGAAAAGCGTGGGACCAGCAGATGGAGCTCAAGTACCGGAGATGGGACTCCGGGTTGGGGCTCATTGTATTGAACACTGGGAGGCGATGTGGGAATAAGCGATAGAGACTATTCCAGCGGTTCTCAACCTGTGGAACGACCCTTTCACAGGGGTCCCCTAAGACCATCGGGAAACACATATATAATTACATATTGTTTTTGTGATTGATCACTATGCTTTAATTATGTTCAATTTGTAACAATGACATTGGGGGTCACCACAACATAAGGAACTGTATTAAAGGGTTGCGGCATTAGGAAGGTTGAGAACCACTGGATTCCTTCTCATAGGTCAAATATGGGTAAGAATAAGGATCCTGTACCATGTCCCTCCTCTGATGTCCCTCTTCCTTTATGCTTCGGGTACAGGGGATGTGACCCCGG